TGACCATTGAAGTTAGTGGGCTTCCTTCCTGCTGTGTTTTGATTGTCCCCTAAGACCTTGTGTATTGGAATTTAATTCCCATTATGAGGTATTAAGAGGGTGGAGACATAGACTAAGTATGGTGCCTCTGGGAGGTGATTAGGATTAGATGAGGGTGGAGTCCCCATGAGTAAATCCTTGCTGGCTTTATGAGAAGGGGAAGAGATCAAAAGGCATATGCATACACACATGCACTGGCTATTTCTCCTTGTCATGTGATGCCCTGCACTGTCTTGGGACTCAATCAGCAAGGAGGCCATCACCAATTGTGGACCCTTGCCTCTGTACCTCCAGAAGTCTGAGTCAAATTAAACCTCTTTTCTGTGTAACTTAAGCAATCTGTGGTGTTGTGTACTCGCAATGGAAAATGGACGACTACATGCTCTTTTTGGGGAAACATTGACATCACACCTAGAATAAGTTGCTAGCAAGACTAGCAAATTCAGGATGTAGCAAAAATTATTAACAATCCTCTAGGACATGGTTTTCAAATTTTCATGTGCATAAGAATCACAGGGAAGGCTTGTTAAAGCAGATCACTGGCCCCACTCCCAGAATTTGATTTAGCCAGTTTGAGGTTGAGTTGAAAATTTATATTTCTTAACAGGTTCCCAGGTGATGTTACACAAGCAGTATTGAGAACCACTCCTCTACTACATTTCCTGACTGCTTGGGCTCTGGTATTATTTCTGAATGCTTCAGTCAAAAGAAGGAGTAGAAGCAAAAAGATATCTCTTGTGTACCTTGTGTGCCAGGAACAGTTACACACACACACACACACACGTATATACACACATATGTATACACACACATATATACACATAAATATGGGATATATGTGACTGTTATATATATGATCTTATGTATATTATATATAATCATATATATTATGTAAAATCTTATTTCCACAGTGACACCAATGTAGAGTCAATATCCTATTTTTAAAAATAATAAAATGATAATCACAAAATTTAAGACACTTGCTTTACAGTCACATGAGACAGAACTATAAGAGGATTTGGAATTGTTGCCCAAGTCTGACTGACTCCCAAGGCTAGCCCTTCCCCACTCACCACACTACTTCTTGAGCTGTCAGCTGGGCCAGAATACCAACATTACTCATGATTAATACACACACACACACACACACACACACACACATTTGCTTGAATTGCATGTTACAAAGACAAAATATATTTCACACACATGAAAAATTGGCCTTGCAAAGGTGAACATGGATTTTTTCCCTACTGCATACATGTTGTTTTTTGTAATTATGTTTTCACAATAAACTTCATGACTGACTGACTAATAATAGGCTTTCCATGGAGGTTGCCAGAATTCATGTGTTGGAAGAAAGCAGATTGGATTGAAAAGAGCCAGTAATGATAGAATGACAAAGGGCTAACCTGCCAAAAATCTAGATCCTAAATATCTAATAGGTAAAATTTAGAATTTTGTGGTTTTGACAAAGGTTCCCAATATTATCATTATATAGTCTTTTTATTCCTCAAAAGTGCATTACAATAGACAAATCTTAAAAACATGCTAAGTGAAACAAATTGGTTACAAAAGATCATGTATTGTAATATTTATATGGAATGTCCAGAATATATACAGAAAGAAAGTATATTAGTGACTGCTTAGAGCCTGGGGGCTGATGGTATAGGGGAATGACAGCAGAAGAGTAAAGGATTTCTTTTTGAGGTGAAGAAAATATTCTAAATTTAGAGACTGATGGCTGTACAACTTTGGGAATATACTAAGAAACACTGAACTGTAAAATTTACGTGGGCAAATTCTATGGTAGGCTGATTATATCTTAATTCTGTTACCTAAAAGAGAACTTTATATTTGTAAAAAAATTATAATGTCCATTGTACATGAAAGTTTATAGCTTTGAATTTTTTAAAACATGTACAATTATGTTAACCAAATTCATATGTGACTCCCTAATGTGACAGCACTATAAATTACCCCTTGTGAGGTGTGTTTTGTTATATAGCCTAAATGGACTTAGAAACTAATTTAAGACACACATCCTCCACAATTTAAAAACACACTGAAATTTTATTTAGCATACTTAATATTGCACAGAAATTACAATACTGGCACAACATAAACATTACTCAAAGATAATGATTTCCTTGGGTTGACAGTTAAAACATTTTCTAAATAAGTTCTTATAAATACATCTAATATCAAAATGTCTTCGGTTAACATACTTCATTATATCCTCACTGGCAAAACATATTGGTGAGTAACAAACACATACTTGTGTAGAACTGGATTTTTGATGTTAAAATGTAAAGTTTTCTATAGCATCTGAAGTGTGACATTTTGGATTTGACTGGAATGCAGTGATGGGCAGTTCTGAAGTGACGTGATCCAGTTTCTGGGTTAAAAATATGCTGTTTAAAAAACATTTACATGATTTTAAATTGATAAGGCAATAATCATATTTTATTACCCCCAAATAGTTGGTTTAAATAAAGTGTGTGGCACTATTTTATTATCATATACAAGGTCACATATTGGGAAGGGAGCACTGGATTCTTGTCCAGATTCTGTAACTAAATATCCAAGCCATCCAGACAAACCATACTCTCTCTGGGGCTCATTTGTCATAATTGTTTAAAACTAAAGTAGGTTTTAGAGAAAAGGGACAAGGTTTGGCTAAATGATCTAAAAAAAAAATCCCTTCTAGCAAAATTCAGTTGTGTTGAATAAAGGCCATGTAAATTCAAAATACAGATCTGTGCAAAGTGAACCATACTGATATTTTACTTTTGAACCCAGAATTTTAATATTAACCCCTATCCAAATTTCTACAAATGAATATGCCCTCTCTGAACCCATCTGTAGCTATAACATTAGGAATTCATATTGGAGCACTTTTAGTATCTGAACTTTAAGGAAGCCCAGCCGCAGCCTCTGCCTGCACTTTGTAATTTGACCATTTAAGTTATAATGCACTTCTATCTTTGAAAGCAAAATTCTTTTTCTAATATTTTTATGCATTTAAAGAATTATTTCTAATAGGAGACCTTTTAAGTACTGGTGGCACACTAAGCAGGAAATGACAGACTCCCCCCACCCGTGAAATACAACCCCAACTGCCAGAAATACAAGTTATTTCAGATGCCTTCAAAAGGTTCACTTAAAATAGACTGCCAGAGGAATTGCACCAGAAAACAGAAAAATCAATTCTAGATGAAAGCAAACACACAGAGGCTTCCAAATTGGCAAGAGAGATCAGTTATATCAATCATTTAGTTATTTAAGAGCAGGAAGCAGGAGATGGACAGACTCTCCTAATGTCTCAACATTGGGGTACTTTTAGTCATAATTTCTGTGCTGGGTGTTTCTTATAAAAATAACTTCACCAGGAGGAGTCCTCCCAAGAAACTCCAGCTCTATAGAGCTTTGCTATCTTCCTGCTCATTATCATGACATTGAGGATGTAGCAGCCAGTAATTAGATCAGACATGGAAAAACAGGGAGAGAAAACTATAAAGAATTATTTCTTTTAAAGGAAGTGGCCAAAGAAAATCCAAATCAGCTACAATTTCCTTGTCCATGTTGCAAAGGGATGGGTTGAGCAGGGTCCAAGAATGGAAAGAAAGAACCCAGCTGGGGCGGTACCGAAGGGGTGGGAGCAAATTCCCAAATGGGGAATATGAAAAGAGGCATCCTCAGAGACATGACCTGCCTTGGGAAGGGCGCAGAATAGGCCCAGTATCTCGCACGCACGGGTGAGCCCAGGTGAGTAGAGCGTTACTCAGCGCCCCTGGCGGGAAGCCTGGATTCGTCCAGGAGACCTTTTTCCGAAGTCTCCTTTGTGCATAGCAGCCCTGCTGGGTGTCAGCGCGCAAAGTCACCGTTTAATTCCCGCTAGCTCCAGACACATTAGGGCCTCTTTAAAGCAGAAAGCTGATCCAGGGGCTTCCTTCCCGGGCACAGCTGCACCAGAAGGTCGACAGTCGTCCTGCCCAGCAGGGCGCCTCTTCCTGGACACCACCAGGTTGAGGCTCTCTGGAGACTTGTACCTCACAGGAGCGTTCGCTCCCTACCCATAACCAAGGTACAGAAACACTTCTGGTGACTAGCGGCCAGTCGGGCCACCCGAATCAGGTCCCTGGTCCGGTTCGCTTTCTCTTGGGCCCCCACCCTCTGTTCGCAGCCAGCAGTTGGGGCGGGGCGCGCCAGACAGGCCGAGGTGGCGCGCTATTCCTGTCACTGTGAGCTACCAGCATGTTATGTGCGGCGCCCAATCACGCTTTCAACTAGCTGCGCGCTGCGCTGACCTGCGGCCCTCCCCTGTCCCCTAGTCTAATCCCCTAGGCCTTGATTTGATCCTCTACGTGGAACATGCTCACCCCCCTCTGCCCCGTAGCCAGTTGTCTCTGGCCCTCCCGGGTGCCCTCAGAACCCGTCCTACTCGTCCACAACCAGGAGGTCAGAACCCTCACCCCACACTACCAGAACGCCTGCAGTCGGGCTGCATCTGCGTTTTTGGGCCGTCGGATATCTTGTGCCTCCGCTGGCCACCGGCAGCTCGGCCCTTCCAGGTGATGGTGCGCGGCCACCGCCGCCCCTGGTGCGTAGGTGTGAGTTACCTAAATTGGGCCGAGGAGGGGGCTTTGGGCAACGAGCTGGCAGCCTTCGCAGCCGCTGAAACCAAGCCCCATATCCCCTGGAAGACTCCAAATTTCGCGTCCTCGGCTACTAGGGACTTCTGGAAACGGTTCTCAGACCAGATTTTCTCTGAGAGGGGCACGGGGCGACCAGCGGGCGGTCCTGGATGAAAGCGCCCTGGGCTTTAAGCTGAGCCGGCAAAAATGGTCTGCTAGGGCCTTTGCCACTCTTTCAGGGGCTTTGGGGGTTCCGTGCCCTGGGATGTCTCCAGCCGCGCCCGGCTGGCTCCATTCCCGGACCGGCTGTTTCCCGCCCAGGGCATCATGAGTTACTTCCTGTCTTACTGCAAAGCTCATGGCGGCGCGCTGCTCACCGGCTACCAGGCCCTGCGCGCCGAGGGTTTCTTGTGCGACGTGACACTGGAGGCCGAGGGCAGCGAGTTCCCGGCGCACAGGTCTCTGCTTGCGTGCTCCAGCGATTACTTCAGGGCGCTGTTCAAGAGCCACACCCGGGAATCACGGGCGCGCGTGATCCACCTGCACGTGCCGTCGGCGGCCGGCCTGCAGCGCTTATTGGACTTCATCTACACTGCCTGGCTGCCTCTCTCCATGGATACCGTGGAGGACACTCTGGAGGCCGCCAGCTACCTGCAGGTCACCGAGGCCTTGGGGTTGTGTGGTCGCTACCTGGAGCGTCAGCTGGCCCCAGAGAACTGCTGCTTCACCGCCAACGTGGCAGCGCGCTTTGGCCTGGCGCATACAGTGGGCGCGGCTGAACGCTGCATCGTGCGCCACTTGCGGGAACTGCTTGCGCTGGGTGTGGGGCCTGCGGGGCTGCTGGAACTGAATCCAGCGTCCCTAAAGGCCATGCTAGGTGACCCCGACGTGGCACGGGTGCCCGAGGCCCGGTTGTTGGGTCTGACGCTGGCCTGGCTGCGGCAGGAGCCAGCAGCCGAGCGCCTGGCGCACAGTGCTGCGCTGCTTGAACGTATACGTTTTGGCCTGGTGCCCCCTGAGGTCCTAAGGCGTGTATACTCAGGCTCCGGTCTTGCCCTGCCCGCTCGGGTCAAGGGTCTCATCATCCAGGCCCTTAACTATCATACAGCACCCTCCCGCCAGCCGCTCCTACACTGTGAACAGACTAGCATCCGGAGCCCCCAGACCCGCATCTTGTTGATCGGGGGTCGCAGGGGGCGGGAGGCGGTGATAGAGGAGGTCGTGGTTCCACGGGCAGCAGCCAGGCACCCAGGCCCAGCAGCTGAACCCCAGGAGGAGGAGGAGGAGGAGGAGGAAGAAGAAGAGATGGAGGAGGAAGAAAAGGAGTGGGAGGTCACCCAGGACGTGGTGGCCTTTGACGTGTACAACCACCGTTGGCGCAGCCTCACGCGGCTGCCTACACCACTGCTGGGGCACAGCGTGTGTACCGTGGGTAACTTTCTGTTTGTCCTGGGTGGGGAGACTTCTTTTGGCAGCCCCTCCACTCCCCTGGCTGATGGCCCATGGGCGGTCACGGCCCAAGTGCACCGTTATGACCCGCGATTCCACGCTTGGACTGCGGTGCCCGACATGAGAGAAGCGCGCGCCTACTTCTGGTGCGGTGTGGTGGGCGAGTCTCTTCTGGCTGTTGGAGGCCTAGGAGCTAGTGGTGAAGCTCTGGCCTCGGTGGAGATGTACGACCTGCGCAGGGACCGCTGGACTGCAGCTGCGACGCTGCCTCGGGCGCTGCATGGCCATGCAGGGGCCATTGGAGACCGGGATGTTGTGTACATCTCTGGGGGCAAGGCGGGGAGAGGTGAGGGCGGTGCTAGTAGCCTCCGGGACTTGTATGCCCTGGGCCCTGGGGAGCGTATATGGAGCAAGAAGGCGCCCATGGGCACAGCCCGCTTCGGGCACCAACTGGCGGTGCTGCGAGGCGCAGTGTTTGCCTTTCTGGGACGATATGAACCCTTCTCCGAGATCGAGCGCTATGACCCTGGTTCGGATCAATGGACTCGGTTGAGGCCACTGCCCTATGACCGCTTCTGCTATGGGTTGGCAGTGGTGGAGGAGACTGTGCTGCTGCTGGGCGGCCTCAAGTGGCGGGACTCGCGCCAGGTGCCTACCCGTAATGTGGTGGGTTACGACCTGGACCTCGACCGCTGGGAGGACATCAGCTGCGCGCTGCCCTGGGCCTGGAGCGGCCTACAGTGCGCGGTGCTGCAGCTGACTGAGGGTGGGGATGAAGAAAGGGAGGAAGAGCCTGGAGACTTGCTAGGTTTAATGCTGGGTTAGTCTAGTCTCTGTCTCAGGGAGGATGAAGGAAAAAGTCGTGCAACAGACGGGCTTTTCCAGAGTGGCTTCTGAAGATTGAGGAGGTAAAAGAGGCATTGGCTAAAGGGAAACAGCTCCTCTTGAGCTGAGAATGGGAGACAGGAGAGGTCACATGGAAGGATATATGAATCAGCTTCAATGAACTGGTATTTTGAAAATAAAACGAGCCCTATTTCCCCTCTTAAAGTGTTTCCCTAGATGCCAAACAGTTAATAGCTTCCTGCTCCCTCCCCACAAAAAGGTCAAAAATGTTCACAAAGTTATATACAAATCCCAGAAAATTGTTGGCTATAAAAGCTGTAATAAATAGTCCTAGAAGATGGCATTATCAGAATAAATAGTGAAGGAAAAGTGCCTTGGTTAAGCAGTATGAAATCATTGTAGGGATAACTATGATTTTATGAACCAGAGCCACAGTTATAGTTCTGCTCTGATAGTTCCATAAAAATAGGAAACTGAGAGGGGGAAAAAATCTCAGAAGCACTTTCTTTGAGATAGTATCCTTGGTTAAATCTTTCCATCCCTGGTTTCCACCTCTAGTCTGCTTTTGTACTGGCTTCAGGTAATTCATTGGTTTAAAGTCATATTTCAGCAAACCTTAGCAACAATAGTCTGTATTTGTAAAAAAAATAATTAACTTATTTTTTGGTGGATTCTCACCATTTCCCCCAAAAGAATCACAGAGAAAGGAAAGAAGAATAGGTGAAGTTTTTCCCATTTGTGTAGGTAAGTGGGAAACCAGATTGATTTTTCAAAGTCTCAGAGAAGATACTTGAAAGCTTGAGACAGGTTTTCCTTCTGGCTTGTGCCAACAAGGAGGTGGCAAAATTGGATCTCATAACTGGGGTGGTGCTAGTGCTGGTGGTTGTGTGATTAGGTCACAAAGAAATGTAAGGACTTTGCATGAATAAAGTAGGTGCTTTATAAGGATTCATTAAGAGCTGAATTTATTTGACTTCAGTTTACAATGGTGCCTCTCTCCTAGATTTGAAACTAATGCAATAAATTGTACAGATATATAGTGTTAAAAGATCTCTTTCATGCTAGGCTAGCCACGAGTCTTGTAAAGTTTCATTAGTTTAATTTTTACCATTTAAACAACAGAGCTGACTTTACAAAAGTAGAAGCTGCTTAGTAGCAACAGAGCTAGTCTTCCCATCAACTGCTTGCTGTTTACAGGCCATAACCTGGCCCCTGTTTACATGACACATCCATCAGATACAAATATTTTTAAATTAACATACACATTTGGTCTAGTAAACATCAATAAGTCTAAACACCTGTAACAAGCACACTTCATTTTAGGACAAGAGGTTTTTTTTTGTTTGTTTGTTTTGTTTTTACATATACAAAATCCCACAAATTTAATGTGCATCAATATCCATGCAGTAAATAAATGTTTTTACAAATAGAGTTTTTAAATGATAAAAATATTACACTGGACCCAAAATTCCATACAAACATTAATACATGATTTCTCATCCATTTTGACTAAATATAGGATTACTGAAAATGTGCTGTAGAAAGGCCACTCTCCTGTACAGTTGTGCAAAGTCTGCAAAACGATAGTGATTCAATGGTGGTTTCAAAAGCAAAGAAAAAGATCCCCGCTGTGGAGTTTTACTTTCTCCTCTACAGCAAAAATATTCACTGGCATATATCTGAACTCTTAAAGATGTAAGTACATTCACTGAGCTGTACAGGCAACAGTATAAAGCTGATTAGAAGTAGATTTTAGGATATAGAATAGTAAAGGAGGGTCCCTTCCTCCTCCTGGAAAAAACAGCAAATTGTGACTTGCACGTTATGCAGCCAGACACTAAAAAGCAGCACAGTCATTTTCATGCTGTGATCACTTTCAAAAACGAGACGCTTATAAATGGAAATATATGAAGAGGACCTTTTCATAGGCTTCATCCACTCTACAGAACAATTCATGATGCTAGGAAAAACCTCTAAATTGTTTCTCTCATGGAATTCAATGTGACATCTCTCTGTCCATCACCCTCTTGCTCCTTAGGTGAGAAGTACATTTTTATTTTTAACATTGTTTTCTTTATATAACACACATCTGCCTATAATTAAACATATTTTACTTCCCTTCCTGAAGTATAATTACATAAGTTCAATTAATGGACTGGGCGGGGGGGGGGGGACTGGAGACTAACTGGAAAGTTGATTCATTTCAGTTTATACCTTGTCATCTTTTAAGAGTTAAGAGTTCAAAAACATGAGTTTGGGCTGAACTTATATATATAGCTGTTAGCTGCCTTTCTGGGTGAGTTAAGTCTGTTTAAAAAAATCCATTCTTAAATTCTTCTGTACACAATCAGCATTTCATCACTACAAAAATAAAGGAAGATTTAAACCAAGAAAATAAAGCAGCTCTATCTTCAATTTTGGTCTTAGTTACAAAAACATCTTACAAAGCTTTGCCCTGATAAACCATTAAGTGTTCTCATAGATTTGGAATAATATTTCCATTAACCAGCTTTCACAAGTTAATAGACTATTAAGACGTATATTAGATACCTGAACTTTTCTTATGTCGATGCTCTTCTAGTTTGCTTAACTCTTGTACGCACACCTACATTTCACAAAAATAAAACTACAGCATTAAACTTTGTGCAATGTTTAAGAAAATTCTTAGGACATTTTAATAAATATAAAAAAGGTTTAAATTCTTTCCCACCCACAAGGATGTCTGCACCTGAAAAAATGTGATTTACGTTTGAAGTCTTATTTATATAAAATTAACTTAAAGGGAGAAAAGATGACCTTAGATAGAAAACTGCCTTTTTGTGGTTTTACTACTTGAAGACCACCTGTATTCAGGATTGTTTGCAAAAGTTAATTTTAAGTCATTAAAGATAGTTGAGTTTGCACATGGTAAACATAAGCTGAGCACTGATTGCATATAAAATATACAAATGCTCATTAAAGACAGTGGTATTGTGATCATATATGGTTTGTTTCATATAGTTTGGTAACATTAAAGTATAGCTTGTCAAGTATCCTGCACATTGATATAAAAACTACCTTATATACTTGTTCAGAATACCAGCAGGTACTAGATGGCCTGAAGGCTGAATGCACTTACACATGCGTTTCGATGTAGGAATGAGTGTGTGTTAGAGAGGAAGTAATTACATCTACTTCAGGAGAAATACTTAATGGGTCATTTGAAGTGGTGTTTTGACAGATATCCAAGAAAAGGTCGAGGTACATCTGCTTCCACTGTTGGAATTCTTTAGATGTCAACTCTGGATTGTCTAGGACTTTATCAATAATGGCTACTTCCCCTTCTCTGGCCTGAAAAGCAAAGGAATTCAATGGTTACAATGGGGATAAACTTTTATTCAAGTTTAAAATGAAAAGTTAATAGGTTAAAAAATAATCCAGAAGCTCCTAAAACATCTTTGTTATACCCACAATAAGATGTTTAGACTCAAATCGTAGTGTAATTTTTCTATTCCTGATGTATACCTTATGTTGCCCACACTGATTTATTTTTTTCTCTTTGTTTCTCCTGTTGCCCATCTCTGTCTATGGAAACCTTCCTTATGTTTTAAGATCCAGTTTAAGAGCCATTTCCTCAAATCTCCTTAAACACTTGGAGAAAAGGTTTTCTCTTTCACTGATGTCCCTATAATTTTCCATCCCTGCCAATGAGTGGACTTACCACATCCTACCTCTTGAGTTACTTTGGCAATCTTCCTCCCTTTCTATATGGTAAACTACTCACACAAATTCAGAATTCTAATACAAAATTCTTGATACTTGAATGTTGAATGTTATGATTCTCTTCCTGTAATACTGGGGCTTGTAATGGAGAATGACTCTCCCTTCCACGTTGGTGGCTGGGACTCAGCTGAAGACTAAGCTTCATCTTGGCATAACTTACAACTATTGACTATGGTAAAAGAGAATCTTCCAGGTGAAAAGTGGGATGGAGGAGAAGGGGTTAAAACAGTATGAAAAGTCCAGTTCTGTCTTTTATGAGATAAAGAAAGGATAAGAAGTGCAGGAAATGTTCTATGCGAAGTGAGAAGGCATGCCTCTCTGCAGGCCAGAGTTGGGAGGAAAAGAATATATCAAAGAGCCTAAGAAGTGGTTTAGTCTTTGAGGTGAGTGGCAGGACATGGAACAGGGCTGGGACTAAGGATGGTAAAAATTGCCTGTGGTAGGATCTGACATCTGTGTTTGGTAAGAGTTCCTGTTAAAAGTCCAGGGACTAGGTGGCTGGGGTGTGGCTCAGGGGTAGAGCACTTGCCTCCCATGTGTGAGGCACTGGGTTCGATCCTCAGCACCACATAAAATAAATAAATAAAATGAAGATACTGTGTCCATGTATAACTAAAAATATTAAAAAATGTCCAGGGACTAGGTACAACTGAGATTGCTTGATCAGTTGTCCTTTCATAATGGAAGATTTTATAATTTATAAAATCTTCTCCCTCCCTCCCTCCCTCTTCCCTCCTTTCCTTCTTCTTCCCTTCATTGGGGATTGAACCCAAGGCCTCACACATGCTAGGCAAGTGCTCTACCAATGAGCTACATCCCTACCCGATAACCTATTAATTTTCCATGTGCAAAATTACAGGATTCTGTAGTTCATTTTTACAAGTGAGGGTGTTTTCTTTACAGAGACTTTTTCATTTTCATTGTCCCAGATAGTCAAGTACAGCATCACATACCTAATGCTTCATCAATACTTATTGAACTGAACATTGGCAGTAGCTCATACTCTGTGTCACTGGAAGAAAATGATTTTTTTTGGGGGGTGGGGTGGGGTGGGGATATAAAACAGGAGAAGGAGAATACCTTTGGTATAGAGCTGGTCACTGTAATTATTTTTATGAATATTATAGACTCTCTATAAATCATGGTCTAAGTTACCATTAGGTTTTCCTATAGATTTGCAATAACATTTGCACAACTACCCTAATTGAGGGCTGGGG